CACTATTTCCTCTGTGATTGGTGATTTTTAGTGTGTGTAGCCCCTTTACGCTTACCGTGTGCCTCCTCTAGCCATGCTGCATTTACTTTGAACATCAATTGGCTCCTCAGTAACAGTAACCTGTTCTTGGCCTGCAGGTCCCTCAGCTCTCATAGGTTATCTTCTGCATTGTCACGCCAGACTCTGCCTCCATGCCTTTTCTTGACCTATGTCACCTCATGACTCTTTGAACAAATCCCATCCCCTTTCTAGCTCTGATTAAAATGTAAAGTCCTTGAAGACAGAGCCTATATTATTTGTTTGGATTCATATTCTCAGTGCCCAATACAGTGTCTGGCTTAATAATGATTCTTTCTCTCTCCCCTTCGCTCTCCCTCTCTCCTTCCTTTTCCTCTCTCTTTCCTTCTCTCTCCCCTCTCTCTGTATACACACATATACATGTACAAACACATATATATGTATATATAAATATATATATACACACACACATACATACACATATCACACATTATATATAATAGCATACTTTTATATATGTGTATGTGTATATATATTTATAGAATCTCTGTCTTTTTCTCTATCATCAATCTATTTTCATGTTTCATTGCCCTTTGTGTGATCCTTAACCTCTGTACTTTAGAGACTATGGAACTATATTATATGATGCTATATCCAAGATCACTGGAAAAACCTGGCAATTAAAAAGATGGGATCTTGTTTCAGGGAGAAGCTTGGGATCATTAGAAGAACTATGGATTTCTCTAAGGCAGTCTGCTCATTTTCCTTCTATAATAATAATATTATTATTATATATTATATTATATTATATTATATTATATTATATTATATTATATTATATTATATTATATTATATTATATTATATTATATTATATTATATTATATTATATTATATTATATTATATTATATTATATTATATTATATTATATTATATTATATTATATTATATTATATTATTATATAATAATATTATAATACTATACACTGCTTTAAGGTTGGCAAAGTGTTGTGTTATCTTATTTGACCCTCACAACAACCCTATGAGGGGAGGCACTATTGTTATCCTCATTTTAAAGATAAGGAAACTGAGGCAAACAGAGGTAAAATGACTTGCCCAGGGTCACACAGCTAGTAAGTATCTGAGGTAGGATTTGAATTCAGGTCTTTTTGACTCTAAGTCTATCACTCTATTCATGACAGCCAGCTCCTCCTGCTCAATGAGATCCACCTCGTTGTCCAGTTGTAATATTTGTTCCAGATATTTTCACTGATAGACAAATTTTTAAAGCAAAGACTCCTCCCTTTCCTTCCCTTCCCCTCCTTTCCTTTCCTTTCCCTTTCCTTCCTTTCCTTTCTCTTCCCTTCCCTTTCCCTTCTTTCTTTCTCCCCTTCCTTCCTCTCTTCTTTCCTTCCATTTTCCTTCCTTCCTTCTTTCCTCCCTCTTTCTCTCTCCCTCCCTTTATTCCTTCTTCCCTTTTTCCCTTCTCACTAGAGGACTTACCTCTTTGATTTTCTTTTCATTAAAATTTAATTTATTTTTTATGTAGCAGGATTTCTTAACCGGGGGTTCATGGACTAGTTTTTTTTAATTGATAATTGCATTTTCATGTAATTGGTTTCCTTTGTATCATTATGGATTTTATGCATGTAAAAATGTTATCCTGAGAAGGCTTCATAAATGACACTGCCAAAGGGGTACGTGACCCCCGAAGGTTAAGGATCTCTGCTTTATGGATTGTCCCTCTGACTGCATAGCATAATCTGGACAATAGGCAATTTTCTTGGTGAATACAGAGAATGCAGGATGATGTGTGATGCTAGAATTGATGTGATGGATGAATAGACAAGTGATGTGGTTTAAAGGGTGGGAATTTTCCTATACATTTTCTTGTATAGATAGTTAGACCAAACGCTCTTGAGTAATTACTGATTTCACGAAGCTCTGCAGTGTCCCTGGGCTTGCTGCAAGCTGTAGAGTGTTATGTGAAAACAGGAACATCTGGAGGACGTCATCATCTTGTCATAATTCCTCTTGACCTAGACCTCCTTCAACAACATAGGTAAATACCTATGAGGCAAGTCTATGCCTCATCATTTGCCTCTCTTGATAGTCACTATCAGAAAATCATCGAATGAAGTGGCCAGCGTGTTTGGCAACATCTCTCAGAGCGTCTTATATCATTTTAATGTATGCACCACTTGGAGGGAGCTTTTATGGCAGCATTTTGCCCTAGTCTATCAAACACTTTTTTTTATAGTCAACCAACAGTAATCACGGTAGGATCTTGATTCCCCTATACTTTCCAGTCAATTGTGACACTGCGAAGTTGTGGTCTGCTGTAAAATACCACTTGCAAAAGCCTGCTCTGCCCAACTCCTTTCTCAGCAAGGATGCTCTCCTTGTGTATGCAGATTATTCCCATCAAATTTTTGCCTAGGTAGGAAAGTAGACATATGATTTGGTAGCTACTGAAATTCTCTCAGTAGCAGTTTTTGGCAATAATAAAGTCAGAAGTTTTTTTTTCTCCAGTTTTTTTTTTTTTAGTATTCACTTTCATGTAACTTGAGATTTGATCCCTCAGTGCCCACAATCTTGTGTTACCTTCAACATGGACCTCCTCTGTAGGTTGCTCAGTGGTTAGAATGCTGGAGCTGGAATCAGGAAGACCTGAATTCCAATCATACTTACTAGCTGTGTGACCCTGGACAAGTCACTTAAATTCTAAGTTTCTTCATCTTAAAAATGAAGATAATAATACCATCTACGTCCCAGGGTTGTTATGGGGATAAAATGAAATAATACTTATAAAGTGCTTTGAAAATCTTAAAGCACTATATAAATGAAAGTTAATATAATAATTTTAAGTATAATAATTATTATTTCAGATGCTTTCTTACACTTTGATTTTTATTATTATTTTTAGCACCATTTCTATTTACATTGGCTACATATCTAGGAATGTAAGTGTCAAAATCTTGTGTCTCCACTGCCTTTTTTTTTTTTTGGAAAATTTTGTTATAAAAATCTACATAGATATTTTCCACTTCTCACCCATTTATTGTCATTCTAGCTTTATCTTAAATGCCCCTTAGTTATGTTACTTTCACTCACTTGCTAATAAGGAGCACTTAAATGTTTGTGAAATTGAATTGAAACTAATCATGCAGCCTCTACTTAAAATCATCTGTTGCTAGACATTACTACATAAAGCAGCTCATTTCATTCCAAAGAATTATCTTTTGTATTTCTGAAGTGTTTACAAAATGCTTTATATACAGTATCCCTTTTGAACTCTGTTAGTAAACACACCTACTGTGTGCCGGGCACTGTGCTAAGTGCTAGAAATGTAAAACAGTAATAAAAGAAAGAGAATTGACAAAAGGAAAAGGGAAAGGGACACTTATTGCAGGGGCATGATGAAGTGCAGCTGGGTGGGAGATATAGAGATGGCTTTCCTAGGGGTCCTCCTTAAATGGAGGCTCTGGGAAGAGCTCTCGCCATCCTCACTCTCTCCAAACCGTCGCTACTTCTTGTATCTGCCTTGCTGCCCCCCCATGTCTCTGTTTCTCTCCCTTTCTCTGTCTCTTTCCCCCTCCCTCCATTCTTGCCTTCCTTTTTCTGCCTGTCTTTTATTCCTTCCATGGCCACCAATGCTTTCTGCATCTGCTCTTTTTTGACTGAGAGTGGTTCTTCTTCTATTTTCCTCCAGTTTAAACTGCCCTTTGGCACATTCTTTGATTGGTGGCAGGCACTTAATTGATCTGTTGCTGAGTGGCCACCAAAACCTAAGCCTCCTTGGTCTCCAACTTGGGGCCAACAAGATATTGTACTGCTTCCCTCCACTCCCGGGTCTCATATTTGATGCTGGCAGACTCCCCTTAGACCTGAGCCCTCATTGTCACAGGCAGTATTTAGGGCCTCTCTGAGCACAGGCTTAGTGAGGGACCTCACCCAAGTTTTCCATCACTACTGCAGGCACACTACCTGTACCATCATGCTAAATGCCCAAGTTCTCCATAAGAAAACAGGAGGTGAGGCAAGTTAATTAATCTAGTAATCAATGGGCATTACTTTCTTAAGGGCTTCCTCTGTGCCAAGTGCGAGGGTTACAAAGACCAAGACTTTTGTGTCTTCTCTTACAGTCTACCATCCAGTTGGATGAGCATTTCTATCATACTCATCAGGATAATCTTGAAGCCCATTTCACCTGTTAGAATGTAAACCTGCTGATGGCAGGCCTGTTTCATTTTGGTCTTCATTGTCCCCAGTGCCCACCATACTGTAGTTGCTCAATAAATGCTTGTTGATTCATCAGTTGACCACCTGGCCATGGCTTCAGCATTTCAAATAAAATCTCCCCCCATTCCCCAAGGTCTGATCCCATTCCCACACTATGGCTCAGCGTGGCTATAGCAGGATCCTTTATTTTGTGTGGTTTGTCAAAAATCTCCCTCCAAGGTGCTGGTAATTGTCTAGCAGTGACCTTTCTTCCTCCCTTAAAACACCCCTGGTTTATCTTTAACTCGAGCCATCTGGATCTGTTCACTTACCAAGAGGTAAGGCCACATTATGACCCACAGATGGCATTGTCCCGGAAGGGTTAGTCCACCCCAACCCCACTCTTCCCAGAAATAGGGGAAAGAAAAGGAACAACTCCTGTGGAATGGGGGGCAACTGGGGGAGCGTGGAGCACTGTGACACAGATTCAGCCATTTTTTTAAGCTTTTTTTAACTTTTTTAAATTTTTAGGCAATTGGGGTTAAGTGACTTGCCCAGGGTCACACAGCTAGTAAGTGTCAAGTGTCTGGTCTAAGGCAGAATTTGAACTCAGGTCCTCCTGACTTCAAAGCCGGGGTTTCTCTGCTGTTCCACCTAGCTGTCCCCCACCATTTTTATCACTCTAAGGTTTTAGCCATTAGTGTTTGGAGCCAATTTAATTATTTCTCTACTGCTGCCATTGTTTCACTGGTGATACTCACACAGACCCACTCGGTATTCTGTGAAGCTCATGGGAACCCACAGGTGCTGCCAGCCTCAGGTTTTGAAGTCCCAGTGGAGATCTCAGACCTCTGCCAATCCTAGCCACTCTATCTGTACCAAAATGAAAACAGGTGTAAGCCACGGGCTCTGTCTGTCTCTCTGTCTTTGTCTATCTCTGTCTTTGTCTCTCTGTCTCTCCCTCTCTGTTTGTCTTTCTCCCTGTCTCTGTCTCTCTCCTTTGAACTCCTTCAGAAACACAGACATGGAAAGGGTTTTGCATTGTCATACTAAACCTTACTCACTAATGTCAAGAGAATATTTGGATTTTTTTTTTAATCTAGGGAGTAATTTCCAGTTGCAGGTGTTGTGTACCTTTGGTTTTCCATACGCACCTGTTTGCCTTTCATGTTGGACACTCTCTGATTCTAACAACTTCTATTAATGCTAGGCATGCCAATTAATTTATTTGTGCCCCAGGTAGTACTCTATAACTACAAGTTTCATCATAGATGCCAATCTGCATTTCTATAGGGTGTTTTTTTTTTTACTGAGAGTTCCATATACTAATAAAATTATAGTCCAAAACAAAATAAGATATGGTCTCAAACAAAATGGGTTACTTATATTACATTATTGGCTCATATTAAACTTGTCAACTTAAATTCTTGCTTTTATCACACAAACTACTGCTAAAACAGATATCTTCCTATCCTGCAATCAGGAAGCTGAATTTCAAACCTAAGTGTAAGATTTTACATTATATCTCAATATACTAAAATTTTTTTTTTGTTCTGCATTTAATATACACACACACAACCTGAGCATTTCCATATACAAAGCAGAACAGGAAAAAAAAAAGATTGTGATTAAAAATATGAAACTCTGTTGTGGATCACTTGCTTTATATATAAATATACTTATATATAAATGTGTATACATAAAATTCATCATGTTACTTTTAAAGCTGTACTCCCTGTCTGAGTTTCCTTCTGAACTTCCTTTGATTTTCTTCTATGCATTTTCTCTCAAATGCGTCCTTGGCTCTTTTTCTTTTTCTTTCTTTCTTTTTTTTTTTTTTGAGGGGAAGGGCAATGCTATTACCTTCCTTTCCCCATTCCCTAAATCTTTATTCTCAATGGAAAAAAAAAACCAAAACGCTTGTAATCGATGATCATAATCAAGAAAAATAAATTCACATATAGTTCATGTGAAAACTGTCCACATCCTAACTTTGTGAAAACTAAAATATATATCCTATTTTGTACCTAGAGTTAATCACTTATCTGTCAAGAGGTGGGTAGCTAGTTCCAACAGTGGTCCTCTGGAGTTATAGTTGGTCAGAGTTCTTAAGTGTTTTAAAATTGTTTTTCTTGACAGTGTTCTTTTTGCATATATTGTTCTCCTGGTTCAGTTCACTTTACTCTGCATCAGTTCATACAAATCTTCTTAAGTTTCTTTGAAATCATCGTAATTGTCATTTTTTATGTCACAAAAATATTTCATTACATTATGATTTCGTAATTTTCTCTACCCCAATTGGTTGGTTCCCCTTCTTGTTTCCAATTCTTTGCTACAACAAAAGAGGTACTTAGTTTGACAGATTTCAAAAGATTTATATTATCATAAATGTGGATGCTCCCTTGAATAATTCAAAACACATCTTTTCTAGTCAGTCAATCAGCATTTATTAAGTACTTACTATGTTCCAGGAAGTATGCTAAGTTTTGTGAGTACCAAAAATACAAAAAATGGTCTCTATCCTCAAGGACCTCAACTTCTAAAAAGAGGGAGACAACATGCAGAAAACATTTACAAAATTTATACAAATGTAGAAGGATTTGAGCTGAGGCTTGAAGGAGTCAGAGAAGCCAGGAAGTGGATGCGAGGAGAGAGAACATTCCAGGCATGAGCAAAAAGCCTCATGAGATGGAGTGTCCAGTGTGAGGAACAGGGTCACTGGCTCATAGATTAGCTAGAGGAGAGGAAATACACTGAGATGGAGTGTCCAGTGTGAGGAACAGGGTCACTGGCTCATAGATTAGCTAGAGGAGAGGAAATACACTGAGATGGAGTGTCCAGTGTGAGGAACAGGGTCACTGGCTCATAGATTAGCTAGAGGAGAGGAAATACACTGTAAAAAGGCAGAAAAAAGCCAGCTTGCCCAAGGGCTTTAAATTCCAGATAAAGGAAGTTATATTTGATCCTGGAAGTGATAAAAAGCCAGTGGACTTTATTGAATAGGGAGGCCGTGGCCAAACCTATGCTTTAGAAAATGACTTTGGCAGCTGAGTTGAGAATGGATTGGAGTGAGGAGAGACTCGAGGGGAGGAAACTAACCAAAATGGCTGTTATATGAAGTGATGAGAGCCTGCACCAGAGTGCTGGCTGTGTGAGCAGAAAGAAGGTGAGTATTCAAATAGTGTCATATTCTGTAATTCCTTTCCATATCTTCTCACAAATCTTCTACAGAGGAACAAGGTATCTGATCATACCATGGGTACCAGTGTAGCACTCAAGGAATCTATATATTATCCCTCACTCTCCATATGTGCCCAGCCCGTCTGTGTTTCCAAGCATACATTTCATTCATTTAATCTTTTACACCATTTGTTTCTGCAGAAGTAGTTATTAACTATATTATGTTATAATTATTTTGATTGCAACCCACCATCTACCTCCCCATTACTTTCTGGGTCATCTCTCTTAAATTTAATTTTAGTTTCACTCGATCCTTCCAGTCTGATGAGATTTTTTTTATTTTGATTCCATCATTCAACAATATTAGCTATTCCTTCCAGCTCTGTGGTACATGAAAATTTGATAAGCACACCTGCTATGTATTCATCCAAATGATCAAACAAATATTAAATGGGGCAAGGACAAGGACAAGGACAAAGCCTCGTGGCATTCCACTAGAGACCTCTAGGTTGATGGGGATCCACTTATTTCTTTGTATGTAGGTGTCTAACCACCTATGAATTGATGTGCCTATCACTGCCCACTCTACATTTTTCCATCTTGCCCATAATGGTATGTATTTTTTTTTGTTAATCAAAAAGTGTTTCGTTAATGAAAAAGAGGATAGGGACTGGATCTATTATTTTATTAGTATAGGGAACTCCCAGATGAGGAAGCTCCCTTTAGCAATGTAGGTCAGTACCTTCTCTGCAACTTAGAGTCTTGGAGAATTTCTTAGAGCATTGAGAAGTTATGTAACTATGTTCCCACAGCCCGTATAAATCAGAGATGGTGTTTAATATTAGGAATTTTTGGATCTAAACAGAGTAGGGACTACATAAATATTAGTTGATTTGATTTACATGATATATATGTATATACATATAAATATATACATACATATATACATTCTGAGAGTTGTAATTTCACCAGAAGTGTAGTTGAATTCATACACTAATGTAGCTATATAATCATGGAGTATGTGTATTCTCTCTCTCATTCTGTTGCTTTCATTCTCTGCCTTGTTCTCTCCCTCTGTTTCTCTGTCTCTTTCTTTTTGTCTTCATTTCCTTCTGCCCATATCAAATCTTTTCAAATATTATAGAGAAAAGGAATATTTTAAAATTAAAAAAAGCTTGCTGCAAAGTGGGATGGCTGCCAAATGATCCCCCCTTTTTTTCTTGGCAGAAACACTACTTTCAATGAATCTATGCAAAAGTTTAAAAGACCAATTAAAAAAATGTACGAAGAAACTCGATGCCATGGAGGATGCTACTTCGAAGCTCAACTGTGGCATTTGCCTCTCTCTCTTCCTTGCCTTGGGCAATCTGGTCTCATTACTGTATCTCGCCTTTCACTCTGTTAGTGTTTTTCAGCTATGCACGAAAAAAATTAATCAAAAAATAAAATGAAAAACTGTGATAACTAATCTAAGTCCCATGGATTTTTCTCTGTTGTTGCCTCAACTGTCTTTTGGGATGAATGTGAAGATGTTGTTACCTTCAAAAGAAACGTTAGAAGCACTCTGGCTTCCTTTCACTTTACTTTTTGCTTTTTATTCTTTGAGGATTCCTTGCTCAGAAAATGAAACGTCCATTCTAATTTCCTTCCTGTCATCAGGCGACTCAGACTGGTGACTTTCGTTGAGTCTTTTTCGTCCAAGAGAGATTCCAAACTGATAGTCTCAGAGGCAGATTTTTTCTTTGTTTGGCATCTGCCAAGGGAGGCAGCATCAATTTACCAGCATCACCTCATCCCCTGCTGTGCTTTGGAAGGACATCGTCTAAGCAGGTTGTCGGTTTCGAGTTCTGCTCAATGTCTGCTTTCTGTGATGAGACCAAAGGGCCAATAACTGAAGCCAAGTCAGGAGGTGGTTTTGGGGATGTGGCTTTTCCCTTAGGAGTTTAAGAGACATCTTAGCTCATTACCTTCTTAAACACCACTTCTGAAGCCAAGTAGCATGCAACATAATCCATGTCTTTAATAAATGCTCTTGTCCAAGGCTCAGGATCACCCAGTTGGGGACCTCAGAGGCCGTCTGCTCTAACCCCTACTTGAATCAGAATCTCCTTGGCAAGGGGTCATTCAGTCTCCATTTTAAGACTTCCAGTAATGGGGACTCAACACCTCTTGAGTCCTTTTTGGATACCTCTAACTTTTAGGACGTTTGTCCTTCCATTGAGCTGAACTCTGCCTCTCTGTTCTTAGCTCTGCCTTCCGAGGTCAAGCAGAATAAGGTTAATTCTTTGAAGACAGCCTGTATCCTGTATGTTTTTGCTAAGGCTTTTCTTCATCCTAAGTTCCTTCACCTCATCCTCAGGTCTCCAGCCCTCTTACCATTCTTGTTACCCTTTTATAGGATGTTCCAATTGATTCATATATTTCCTAAAATGTGTCACCTAGAAGTAAACCCAACAATGCCGATGCAAGCGGACCAGGGAAGTGCGGGACAGTACTATCACCCTTCTATTCCTTTTGGACATTACACTTCTTCTTTTTTACTTATTTTTTTTGGTCTAAGCAATGGGGTTAAGTGACTTGCCCAGGGTCACACAGCTAGTAAGTGTTATGTGTCTGAGGCCGGATTTGAACTCAGGTCCTCCTGAATCCAGGGCCGGTGCTCTATCCACTGCGCCACCTAGCTGCCCCGACAT